GAGCACAACCACCTTTTGGCCCAATCTACAATCTATCGCAAATGGAGTTGGTAGAATTATGAAAGTACATTGACGAAAATCTAGCCAAGAACTTCATTCGTCATTCAAAATCATCAGCTGGAGCACCCATCTTATTTGTGAAGAAGAAAGATGGATCATTATGGATGTGTGTAGACTATCGAGGCCTCAACAAGGTAACAAAGAAAAATCGTTACCCATTACTCTTGATTTCTAGTCTCTTAGAACAACTTGGATGTGCGAAGATCTTTACAAAAATTGATCTAAGAGGAGCTTATAATCTCGTACGAATCAAGGAAGGAGATGAGTGGAAGACAGCATTCCGTACAAGGTATGGTCATTTCGAATATAATGTCATGCCTTTTGGTCTTACCAATGCTCCAGCGGTTTTCCAACATATGATGAATGACATCTTTCGAGAACACCTCGACGATTTTTTTGTCATTTACTTGGACGATATTCTAATATTCTCTAAAAACGAGGAAGAGCATGAGGAGCATGTTCGTTTGGTCTTGGAGAAACTACACAAGCGAGGACTATATGCCAAATTAGAAAAGTGTTTATTTCACCAGACGGAGATGGAATTTTTGGGGTTGATTGCGACTACAGAAGGTTTGAAGATGGACTCCAAGAAAGTCGAAGCAATCATGTCTTGGGAGGTTTCGAAGACGGTTAGAGACGTACAATGCTTTCTTGGTTTTGCTAACTTCTATCGGATCTTCATCGAGAATTATTCTCAAGTTGCTGCTCCTCTCACTCGATAAACATGCAAGGATAAGTTGGAATGGGGACCTTTGGCGGAGAAGGCGTTTCAAGATTTGAAGACAGCATTTACTACAACTCCAATTTTGGTACATCCAGACTTTACAAAGGCCTTCTATTTAGAAACTGATGCTTCAGATTTTGCTTTGGGAGCTGTGCTTTCACAAATAAGTGAAGATAAGAAGCTCCATCCAGTTGCATTCTATTCTCGAAAGTTCTCTGCTCTTGAAATCAATTATGAGATCCACGATAAGAAACTTCTTGCTATAGTGGATTCTTTCGAAGAATGGCGTCACTTTCTTGAAAGAGCTACACATCCAGTAACCGTATATACGGATCACAAGAATTTGGAGTATTTCATGACGGCTCGAGTTTTAAATCGGCGTCAAGCTCGGTGGAATATGTCGCTATCTAAATTCGATTTTGTTATCACTTATCGATTTGGAAGGCAACAAGGACTATCCGATGCTTTATCAAGGAGATCGTATCTTGCACCAAAGGTTGGAGAAGCAGCGTTTGATCAACAATGTACAACGTTATTGAAGCCAGAGAGATTTCAACTTTGTGCTACTGTTGTATCATTTGATGCTGACTTCCTAAACCAGGTACGTGCTATGACCATTAAAGATTCAGTAGCCATTGATATCAAGCAACGTACCAATGACGACAAGTTCAAGGTAGAGAGAGATCTTTTATACTTTGAAGAGCGATTGTACATTCCAAAAGGACTAGCACGACTCCGAGTTCTTCAATCTCTCCATGATTTTCCAACTGCGGGACATTTTGGATTCAACAAGACCTTGTAGCTTATTTCCCGAGATTTTTGGTGGCCCCAAATGTGGAAGGATGTGAAAGATTTTGTCCTCTCTTGTGACATCTGTTAAAGATCCAAGAATCCTCAGCATCGCCCTAATGGACTTCTACAGCTTTTGCCGATTCTACGTCGACCATGGTCTTCAGTTTCCATGGACTTCATTATGGACGTGCCATTATCAAATTCATTTGACAATATCTTTGTCGTGGTAGATCAGCTTACAAAGATGGCGCACTTTGTCCCTTGCAAGAAGACATCGTCTAGTGAAGTCACAGCAAGACTCTTTTTCGATAATGTGTATCGATATCATGGACTACCAGATGATATCATATCAGATCGAGGTACCCAGTTCGTGTCAAAGTTTTGGAGATCTCTCTTTGGGATATTGAAGGTGGATATCAAGCTTTCTTCAGCTTTTCATCCTCAAACTGATGGCCAAATGGAACGGGTGAACCAAGTCTTGGAGCAGTACTTACGATGCAGCATCAACTATCAGCAAGACGATTGGACGGCATATCTACTGCTAGCCGAGTTTGCATATAACAACACCCTCCATGCGTCGACTCAACAAACACCATTCTTTTCCAACTATGGGTATCATTCGAAGCTTGATTTATTGAGTCCGTCAACAAATAACAATCCAGCAGCTGAAGGATTTGTGAAGCAACTATCAGAGCTTCAAACTATGTTGAAGCTTCAATTACAATCCGCTCAAGAATCCTATAAGACGTTTGTAGATAGATTTCGGAATCCAGCACCTACTTTCAAAGTTGGAAACAAAGCTTGGCTTCTTCGACGAAATATCAAGACCAAGCGACCATGTGATAAGTTGGACTATCGAAGATTGGGACCATTTATCATCCAGAAGCAAATTAATCCAGTGGCATACCGGCTGGAGTTACCGGCTTCTATGAAGGTACATCCAGTCTTTCATGTTTCTCTGTTGGAACCTTATCGAGAGTCATCTTTTCCTGGAAGAGTGCAATGTCCGCCACCTAGTATTGAAATCGAGAACCACGAAGAATACGAGGTTGAAAAGGTATTAGATTCACGGCGAAGGTGGGGAAAGTTAGAATATCTTGTTCATTGGTGCGGCTATGACATTAATGAGCGAACGTGGGAGCCAGCTGAAAATCTTGCGAATGCGCCACAAAAGATACAGGAGTTTCATCAACGACATTCCGATAAACCTAAATCAATTCGATGATAGCTTCTTTCTGAAGCTTGTTCTCCCAACAATATAAGAAAAGGGGAGAGCACCAGCAAAATTCATAGTTGATGTAGTCATTCTCTCCAAGATAGCGTAGAACTTTATTAGTAGCCCAAGTTTGTTCTTATTGTTTTAGCCTTTGAATATGGATAGCCAAGATACTACACTTGTCATGTCATCTCAAGCAACTAGCTCACGAAGACGACCGCGAGATGAAGAACCGCTTGCACCACGACGACGTCGAAGGATTCCGAGCAACAGATCGCTGGTGATTGTATTTGAGGTCGAGCCTGCCTACAATGGTCAGCCAGAAAGAGTGTTTGCAGGACAATTTCACAATGAAGACACGGAGGTTCATGCTTGGTCAGAAGTTGAAGGCGTAGGCAACTACCGTTGGCTTCAAGGACCATTGAATCACTTGCCTCGTGAACAACAATTGGAGTTCATAGCAGAGGTTATGCGACAGATCTTCATTTTCTTGCGTTGGTATTGACTGACGATAACATTGCTTCTCGGAGACCTCGAAGCTAAAGGAAGAGGTGATGTTAGGGACATAGTCTTTAGACCTTTCCAGAGACAAGTTTCTAGAACCTATTAGAAAGAAGTCTCTAGAAACTTCCAGAAGATTCTTTGAATATTCTCTTAGAATATTCTTCAAAGATTCCCTAAAGATTCTTTGAAGATTCCCTAAAGATTCTCTTAGAAGGGTCTAGAAGATTCTTAGAATATTCTAGTAGATTCTAGGAAGTTACTTGAGAAGCTTCCTAGCTCTTGGGTAGTTGCTCGAGAAGCTTCATAGTTCTTGGGAAGCTTCTTGATGCGCTTCCTTAGAACCATAGGCCAGTAGTATATATAGGAGTCGAGGCTGAAGAGTTCTTCAGTCTCGACAACACATCTCTTGGAGTTCTAGCTCACCTTTCTGGTGTTGTTCTTGTACTCATCTGTTTAATCTAGTTTTGCCACTTCTTCTTGAACTTCTTGTTAGATTTCAAGTCTATATTTTGTGTCCGTGACAATACTTGCATTGGAATCTACCAATCCAATAATATATCTTATGTTGACATAAAATCAATTGATTGTTATATGGGTGATAAGAATAGATTCATTACTTTTGATTTTATTGTTCAATATCTCTATGACCAAAGTTTCTAAATTAAAAATAGTTTTGCTCCATTTTTTGATCCAAATTAATCCTTTGTGATGCTTCAAATTGCAATTTTTGAAACTCATTTAGTTAAGAGTCTCTTGGCTATCCAAGTTAAACATAGCATCAATAATAATGCTTGTAGTAAAAAAATCTATTAGTGATGTCTAAGCAACTTAAAAATCTTTGTACGAGCACTTTTATCAATAACATTTTTGGTTGGTACTATAATCACATCATCTAGTTTTGGTCTATTGATTATAATGAATATGTAGAATATGATCACTAACAACTTTTTAAAGCATATGCCATAAAAACTTATCTTGAAGATAACCATTAATAGTCCATATAAGAAAGTAGCCATTGATGCGCATTGAAGGGCTAATTTTCTTTCTTGCAAAGCATTTAGACAATTTGGTCATTGTTTTTACTAATACAATATTAGTGGAGTTTGACTTCTCCATCCTATAATGAGAGAAAGACTTGAATAGGTTTTCATTGAGCATTGTGTTGCTTGAAGGCATCTTCTAAGTTAAACAACACAGTCTTTTAAACAAAATCTAAATATCTGCTTATGTATGTGTTTATAAATAATGAAATAAAAATAAAGAAAGAGAAAAAGAATGAAAGGATAAGAAAGAAAGATTCTACTGTTTTTTATCTTATTAGTAAAAATTAATAAAATCATCTTACATAACTTAAAATAAATCAAGTTTTTTATGGGCAATTATATATCAAGTTTTTTAATGATGGGATTGAGACCTTGGTGAGGCTCGTACCCCGCCAGGTACGAGCCTCACCACGGCATGAGACTAATCAGTGTATCAACCTTGACGAGGTATGAGGCTCACCTGGACCCGGAGCCAGGGCCGGGGTGGAGGAAGAAGGAATATGCTGCGTCGCTGGGTGTCGCAGGAACCGCATCAAATGGGAGCGAGCGAGTGGAGAAGTGAAAAGGAAAAAAGGGGGCACGAGGGAGATCGGGTTGCGATGATGATGAAGATGATGATGATGATCTCTGGCCTTCATCGGCTCTAGATCTTCTCCGCCTCCGATGTTGGTGGCATTACTTTATTGTGCCCACCAGTCCATGGTCACATTCGCCCCCCTCCGTCTCGAATCAGATTTTTATTGTGGCATTTTTTCATGCCCTGTTTCTGGTCGTGGTCGACGACAGCGGTTGCTACACTTGGTGGCAGGAACTGAATCTTTCCGAGTTGGTTGATGCGCTCGGGGGTTATAGCTCTGGCTTCGGCGCAGGGCTGTTGGGTTGCGAGCGTCGCAGCTGGTGGCGTTCTCGGCGGGTGTGATCAGGTTTTTGCATTCGAGATTCAACTTGTAAGAACGTGTGCAAATTCTTATGTGGGTCCTCATTGGAAATCAATTGTTGGCTGTAATCTGTATTAGCTGGCCGTTACTGCCGGTGGTACGTGTGTGCTGGTGTTCGTGTATGATCTTCGTGATTGGGTCGAATTTTTAGCGAATCGAGATTAAAATCTGGTCTCGTATAGCATTGCAGCATGTTTCGCTGCCGGGATTCGGTAATTTTGGGGTGTTCGGTGTTTCTACGCTGTTTTGGGTCATGCTGCGGGCGATGTGTGTTGTTTTTGATGACTAGGCTTTTTGATGCTACAATGCCAGTCTTTGGAGCTTGGATTCTAGCGTCTATTCTTGTAAATGACGAATTCGACGACTTTGTGATAGCTCGGAGGATTGAAACGTAATACGCGGGATCTTCATAGTTTTTAAGGAACTCAACATTGATTATCTGGTTGTTGGTTTCGTTTTGTATGGGATGCTTTGCGCATCTTGTTTTGTACCTTAGATAGTTCAGCTTGAAGATTCGAGCTGGTTTGCTTCATCGGATTTGGTGATTTTGCGGTGACAGTCTCCAGAATTGATCCTGTGACCAATCAATGCACATTCCCGAAATTGTGGTGAAATTTTGTGGTGAAATTGTTGGGTTGCTTGTTCCCCGCACTGTTCTTGCCAAAGATTTCCGTCTCTTGAGGTTCCCTTCACGTCGATGTTCTTTGTTGTCCAAGTACTTTTCCTTGATGTCTTCATGGGCTTTTCTACTCTTCTTCAATCTTATCTAATGACATTGAGAATTTCACATGCTGAAGACGAAGGAGAAAAACTAGTCTTCAAGTGTATTCCGTTACAGCTTTTAAAACTCTTAATTTAGTTTATTTGAACTCGATTTACCAGTTTTGCATCCCTTTCTTATTGTAGTAGTAGTAGTAATAGCGCGGCTTAAGCTTCCACGCTTCCTATTCATGTGCTTGCTCCAAAACCCCTCTACTTTGATCTTTAGCTTCTGACCTTATTCTGGGCTCTATTGCAGTAGGTGTTCTTCTGCATTACATGTTGATGGTGCCATTGTACGTCAATAATTAAAAGTAGATATCTAAGAGAAGCAGCCAGTGATCCGGAACGGCGTGGGAGAGGCAGTATTAGCAGCCATGAGTCTTACGAAGGCCCAAGCTCTCTATGCCCACAGTAGCTGCCAGCCCCCTCTGGAACGAAACCTTTTTCAAGAACACAACAGGAGCGCTCAGTCTGCCGTTCTTTCATCGTTTCAAGTTGGCAATTTGAATGGAGCATTACGCAAACGTCGCATCACAAGTGGTATTCTGATAAGGTGTAGCGGGACACAGGTCAAAAGCTCTTCGCATCATGGCAAAGCTACGAAGAAAAATAGTAAAAAAAAGTTGGGAAGTACATTGAAGAATACCAAAACGGATGACTCCAATGGCCACATGAGTATTAACTCCCTTGCCACGGGAAACTCGTCCTTAGCTCCAGCTGACTTATGTACTATGGAAGAGGAGCTTGATGAGGTTGATGAAGATGATGAACTACAAGTTTACCGAGGCCTTGTGCTCGACCTTTCATATAGGTAATTCTGACTACATTTCCTGAAATTACAATTTTCAATTATTGGGAATCAAACTTCTTTCCCTTATTGACAGAGTGTAACTAAGGTGTGCAACCTGCAGGAGGAAGTACTAGTTTGTTAGTAGCTATTAGCCGCTAATCTTCTAGTCTGTTAGTCTGCTAATAGTTATTAGTCTGTTAGCACGTATCAAAGTCGGACACATAATTGATTGTGTAACAGTCTCTTATGTTGGCATTGAATTCTTAAGTGTGCCTATGTTGGTCGTCAGTTTGGAGCTTTGCTGACGAGGTGTGGTTATTTCGTAATGACTTTGTATGGCAGACCAATCAATGTAGTAAGCTGGAAACGAGCACTATGCCTAGAAATCATGGAGAGGGTAAGAGTTTGGAGCCATCACTTTCTTGGTCTTTTGCAGTCTACACTCCGTTATTACTTGTGTGGTTAATCTCATATTTGCTAGTGTCTCGGTCAGTCTTGTCTATGTTCTTACTCTCTACATACTCTCTAATGTCATTTATGTAGCAGGAAGCGGCATAAATGTAGGTCCGAAATTCGAGCTGACGACTCATCAACATTTCTTGTTCCTATAATATTTCGGTGTATTTGGTTGCAGGCAGACGTATTGGAATATTACGATCAAGCCGTTGCAGCAGTCTCCAAAACCTATTATATTCCAGCAGTTCTTAGGGTGTGTCATTGATTCCATCTCTTTCACTCTTGCATTGCTAATTTTAAACATTCAGTACAGTACATCGCATCCATTACCGTGGAAATCAATGCAGGTCACTTTGATCTCTTGGTTACTGGGGGATACTGTTTACATTTCAGGTTAGCAGCTTTGTTCATGCTCCAAAAGGCAAGAAGGTCAAGCTCTCCCTGAATCGTAACAATATCTTTTTGAGAGACAAGTTCAAATGCCAGTAAGTGCCTCCCAACTGTAGGTGGGATCCTTGCTTTATACGAAATTGAGGTCTTTCTTGTTGTATCGCCAACTTGTTCATACTTCAACAAGATCTCTCAATCATGTAATGGGGATATGGAATGTTATGGTTTTTCAGGTATTGTAGTAAGAGAGAAGAAGATATGACTATTGATCACGTGTTGGCAGCCTCTCGTGGAGGCGGTTGGGAATGGGAAAATCTGGTAAAATGGGTGTTTTCATAACAGTGCATCATCTGACAGAGGATTATTGTATTGGTACATGTATTTTATTTGATTGCATCAGTCAGAATCAGGGTTTCCAATATGAACAAGATTAGTCTTGGTATCTGTGGCTGAGTGACATTCAGCTGATATTTTTGAACATATTCTTATCAGGTCACTGCTTGCTCATCTTGTAATGTAAAAAAAGGAGACAAGACTCTTGAGGAGTGTCGCATGAAACTTTTAAGACAACCTCGGGTATGGTTGGAGCTTTAGAAATCGTTTTTTCACTTGGTCATTAGTGGCGTTAATGTCCGAACTTCAGGGTTTTAGAAATTTCATGCAGATCATATATTTGCGCATTTTGAATATACCCGGTATCTCTTATAATACCAGTCTTTTTCAGCAATTTATTGCTGCTGCGCAGTCATTGTACTATATAACATTATAACATGTTATGTTTTCATTAGTGGTAAATTAATCTCGATTTATTTATTTATTTGTGAACAGGAGCCCAAGGAGCTTGATAGTTTGGACCTGCCACCGAACTACAGGACATTTAGAGTCCTCCACCAAAACGATTCTACACCTGCAGAATGGTTAGATTATTTACCACGTCAGAAACCACTTTTCTGATCGACAAATGCGTTGGTTGGTGGATAGGGTTGTAGATTGATTCTTTTACAAGTGTCAACATTCTGTATTTAGTGTATGTACGAGTAGAGATGCAGCAGAAACTGACTGTTTTCAAGATCATAGCAAAGAGTGGTCAGCTCCGTGACTCTGAACATTATGTACATTAATCTGTAACGCTGTTAACCTGAGATTTTTGGAAATGTAATTAAGGTCTGCTTAACTTGGCTACTCATGCATACGTTCTTCGTCTATGATGGTAATGTATGAAACTGCCTCCAGGGTTTGTGCAAAATAACAATGTTGCACCTGCCATCCATATCACAAAAAGATGGCGCAGTGATTCTTATTTAATGTGCTCTTACATTTTTACAATTGGCACTTGATCTGCATGGTTTCGTAAATCATTTAGGGACGGTGTCCTGAAGTATCTACGTGCTCCACATGAACTCTAATCAAGTAGATGAACAGTGAAATTTGGAGCGCACAAGCAAGTTCTTCAATAATCACCAAAATGCTGAAATATCTATTGAAGTTTTTTACAAAAACTAAAACTTTAGGCCTAGAAAGTAAAGGTCTTGTTCCCAGTATGAACCTGCTTACAATTGTCAGGTTGTTTTTTTATCACATCATCCTACAAATTGAATAAAAAAGTTTTCTTGAGGTCATCTTGAAGTTTCCTTCAATTGTTCATGGAATGCCAAACTAGTATGAACACAAAACACAGTCAACTTTTTAACAAAAATATGGCCAAATCGTTCAGAATGAATTCCAAGGAGATAACATACATCTGAGAAACATACTCGATCATAATGAGAATTTTGGAACTTGCATCCAGATGTTTGAAAATGTATCTTGAAGTGCAAGATTCTATTATAATTATAAAAATCTTGCTAAAAAAATGCCACTCATTTTTATTGTTATTCGTTCAAATAAAATGTACACAGATAGCTAATGCCTTTCTTTAACGCCAGAAGCGAGACCCCAAAAAATAATTTTCTGTTGTTGTTGTTGTTGTTGTTTAATGTTGTGGTGGTAATCATTGTTGTCTTGCTAAAAGAAAGGACTGTCCACGGTGGGTCCAACAGCAATGGCGGTTCTCACGCGGTGCCTGCCATCATCCCATATTAGAGCCCCGAACACCCAGTTCTTCAGCCATGGCTGCGTGTCCATGGGCTCTAGTGTTGCAGTGTAGGAGAGCACCTCTGTGTCCGGGGTGAAGTTCAGCACATCGGGACTCACCCGCACTCGCACCCCAGCTGGGTTATCGATCTCAGCTCGGTAGGTTGCGGTTGGAGCTCCAACATTTGTCACAGTCCGGACCACTGTGATGGTATTGGTGAAGTTCGAGGCCGCAATGGTGGGGTAATTGAGGCTGGAGGCTGATACCCTTGCCTTGGGGCACGTCACGTGAGCTGTGTCGGTACCTGTGACGACCCTGATCTGGCTGTCTGTGTAGTTCATGCTGCATAGGAATAACTTATAGTCGCCACTCGTTGTGTTGTAGACCAAGCCTGGGTCGATTGCTCCCTTGGGATCAATATGACCCGAACCCCATGTCAGGTCCCCGTGTGAGTTTTGGTTGTGTTTTGAGTCGAGTGGTGTAGCTGGTGGTAAAGAAATACGATATGAGTTAAGACGTATTTTGAGTGGTGTCTTCCATCTGAGATTTTTAATTCTGTTGCGTGACGTGACGGTTCGATGAAGCTTTCTTACACATATTGTGAAGGTTTGAGGGTTAGGGCTGAGAGAAGGGGAAAGAAAAACCTGTTGTCATAAGTGCAGATTTGATTGCTGCGGGGCTCCAGTCGGGATGTTCAGCTTTCAGCAGAGCTGCGACTCCTGCAATGTGTGGCGTTGACATTGAAGTTCCGGACAGAAAGTTGTATTGGAATGTCCGAATGTCCGAGGGATCCTCGGATGGTGATGCTGCTGGTGACCATCCAGCCAGAATAGACACTCCTGGTGCGATAAGATCAGGCTGCAGGACCGTGAAGTGGTGAGTTGCGGATTGCTTTACGACATTTGGTGATTACTTGATCACATCTTTGCACATATGAACCTAGTGATGCTGCATCTAATGTACGTAGCACCGGAAAGCCTCACAACACCGCAAGGATGTGGTATGAGCAACGGAATTTGGTGCTGTTTTCTTACGAGCTAGACCTTCTAGAATGAGTAGGTTCAACCTCGAGAGAGACTGACATAATTACCTTCAAAACATCAGGTGAGATTACATTTGGGCCACGGGATGAGAACTTAGCCGCAATAGGAGCCGGAATCCCCAGATATTGGAGAGAGAGTGTCATTGTTGCAACTGGACTTCTGCTCCACAATAATAATTACACAGGTGATAATTTTGTTTTGCTGTTTCCTTGACTTGACACGAGATAACTACTCAAACTATCTTTGCAAACCTGAAGCAGAATAGCAACGACACCAAGAGTATACGAAATGAGTCACCTTTACCTTGTGCTGTTGATGTATGATAGAATATGACTGCCAACTCCTTGGCTTACGACCGTCACTGCTGGGTGGCGAAAGACCTGTGCATAAGACTTCAGTTCATCGTCTACCATGATGGTGGCAACCCCGCCCTTGTCATAGACCTCTACTTCTGGATAGTTGATTCCCAACATGTCTCCAGGTACACAAACAACAATATTGCCTTTCACCTTCTTTGCGTCCAATGAATCTGGGCCGCACATCCTGAAACCATTCATATGTTAACTTAAATGTCTCGTGAAATGCCCTCGACAGATTGCATGACGGAGTGTCATGGTTTGCATCAAAGAGTAGTACCTGGCATCTGTGGATGTGATGTTTTGTGCTGGTATGTTTCCCGCGTCGACGAGTGGATACACGTTAGGATCAATTTTTTCAGTGTTCAGGCTTGGACCCTACCAACAGCCCCAAATCAGGTCATCATCAGAAATCTGAAACTTTCTCGTAGGAAACTGCAGAATCGCATTGATGGATTGATTGATGTCCATAGTCTTACAGAGTACGTGACGTTGTTTCCGAGGTGGATGTCGGATAGAAACTCTCGATCAATGGAGCTTGCTGCAGCTGTGAGAATCCAGGGTGCACCATTGCTGACTGTAGCTTTGGAAGGTCCCGAATTCCCCCCTGCCGCCACTACAAGAATCCCTTTATCCGTGGCATGAAATGCCCCAATTGCGATGGAATCGTAGAAGTAGTCAATAGCTGAAGCGCCTAAAGAGATGCTAATCACATCGACCCCATCGTGGATGGCCATGTCGAATGCTGCGAGAATGTCGGCGGTCTGGCACGACCCCGGCCAGCAAACTTTGTACGCAGCCACTCTTGCATTTGATGCACCTCCTCTTGCAGTTCCTACAGCCAGACCTGTTCCCTGGAAGCTAACATTAGTGGTTCTGGAGCCTCCCAATGTGGTTATGGTGTGTGTGCCATGGCCTTCTGTGTCGCGTGGAGACAGGCTAACAGTTGGATCCGAGGTGTTAATTTGTCCCCAAATTGCTTCATAACCCTCTGAGAAATATCTGGCGCCTATGAGCTTCCTGTTGCAGTAAAATTCGGGGAAGCTCTGGCCTGTTTCACATTCTCCCTTCCACTTCTCTGGGATTGGATCCATACCTTCGTCATCAAAGCTCTCGTGCTCAGGCCAAACTCCTGCATTGGTGCACAATAAAGGTAAGAAGTCTCGACGGTGGTTTTGGAAGAATGTGCTTGCATGAAGCGGTTCCAACTTTCGAAAGTTGAGTGGTGTTAGTACCAGTGTCAATGGTAGCCACGATGACGTCTTTGCCAAAGTTCGTTGATGTCCACGATTCACCGTCAAGATTAACGCCCATGTAATCCCACGTCCTTGTCGTTTGCAATGAACAGCTGACACTGGGAAATGTGGAGACCACACCCGGCATTTCTGCACAGTACAATTGTTATAGAAATAAATAACCACTGGAATCAAGTTTACTTCTAGTTCATATTCGAAACAAGCATGAAGCTGTTGATTAATACAGATATTTTCTGGAAAAAATTTAATGTGCAAACTGAGTGACCTGATAATTGTGCAGCTTCGGACGCAGATAGCATGGCTGAAAATCCATTCAGTCCGTGTATGTAGCTGTGCACTAAAGCAGTCTTTCCTGTCGCTGCACTGTGATTCTCCATATCGATTCAATTCCCGTGTCAGTGTGATGAATTTATTTTTAAAATTTTTAAAATTTTTTAAAATTTTTACAGAACCCATTCTGATGGGCTTACAAATAAAGTCCTAGATACAAGTGGGTACCTGCCGAGGACACTTGAGAGAAGGTCGGAGTGTGTCTCTGCAGTAATTCCAAGTGCATGAGGAATCTTATTACTTCCCATGTACACAATGTACAGCTGCACATGTGCGCCACAACAGATTATTCCCTGCAGTCCTCAAATATCATGTCATATTTGCTTCAACTAACAGCTCTAACTGCAGCATAGGGAACTTTTTCTTGAGTCTTAGTATAGAAATAAAATAATTATAAAAAAAAAAAACGAATGTTCTATGAAACCTGTCAGCCAATATTCTGTGTAGGTTTGTTATGAATATCAGTCTGCCAATCCCCACGTGGTTTACAACAATGCGTAATCATGCTTTCTCGCGGTACCTGTTTCTCTGAGGTCGAGATTGAATGAACAGCCGACATGTTCTTGAGCGCTAGCAACCCTAGAGTCCACAGAATTAGTCGCTTCAATTGGCTGCCATTATGAGCAGCCATGGCCGTTTTTCTGTCCAAGTGACCACTTCGGACATAAGATTTGGTACGATGCAAGCTCGAGCACAGACACACGCTGCTGACGCTGATCTAATCGAAAATCGTGCCTTCTTGTGAATAAGTACATCCCAGGAGGTTTCTTCCTAACGAATTGTAACTCATTAGCCCGAAGAAAAGTGCATTGCGTTGATTAGTACCAATTTTCCCTGAATGCAGAAGTTGCATAACAAGGCGTGTGACGGCACACCGATTGCTTCGAGCTAAATACAATGTAACAGAGCCCCAAAACTTGAAAGGGGAAATGAACCCACAACGTTCTGAAAACCGGAGTGATGAAACATGGGGACCAGAATATGGTCTTTAATAGCAGACACGGGGTAGGCTCTGTATGCTCAAATTAAGGTAAGAAACATAGGCACAGCCTCAGAAACTTGAGCATCTGAAATCCGAGAGACCTCCTATGAAGAACTTGCACTGCTAGAGTACCGGGCAGAGAATTCATCTTGTTCTTGAAGCCAAACGGCGGAGACTCACGTGATCAAGCTCAATTACTCAGATTTGTATGGTCAGAACACGGTATTCGCTTGTAATGAAGCAGAACATCCGACCAGATGCTTGCAATGGAATTCGACATTCAAGTAAACATTTGCAACGGAATTCAGCATCCAACTGCAAGTTCTAATCACGTGGCTCGTTTCTCGCAGATATCCATTAGAAAGCCAAGTCATGATGCATCGGAACGCACGACCTTGAAAGTCCAGAACACGTAAAAACACGGTGTTGGTGAAGCGGAACGACCTCTAATATATAGGGGACTTCGTGCAGCAGGCAGAAAGGAGACTCAGTTCGAACCCTCGTTACAGAATTCAACTACATAAAGTCAAGATCATTGACACCGGGGTGAAAAACTGAGATATCCACAAACCTGTACTGCGTATTGACATGTTCGAGAGGACGCGAATCACGTGTGCACAAATGTATCATTCTGTCGATTTTAGCTGATTGATTGCTGCCTACAGTTACCTTGTTCGTAGCTATCTAGGAGCAAACGACGTGCCTCACACGCGTTTCTATGCACCTTTCAGCTATAATTGAAGAATGTTGTATCTATCATCGTGCCACTACGAAGCGACACAATTCATTCTTCTATTGTATGTAGAGCAGACCTCACGATCCAGACGCGCTAAATCAGATCCTCGTACACAAGATCAGTCCAATTATTCGGCACTAATCTCAAGGTTCCAATCCAGGAATGACCAGAGCGTGGACCAAGAATGACACCTCCCAAACGTAAAATCTGGATCATACTACGTCCTGTACGCCTTCAAACATATTCGTATCCATTGTGATAAGAATTCCAGCCAATCCCAACCATAGCTCGATCGAATCAAGCATCCACCGCAACACAAACAAAAAAAACTGCGTCATCCACGCACAAGAGAATGCTACCCCACACCTCACCAGCTCTCATGCAGATTCTATGGGAGTCAAAAAACGCAGGGCACGATTCTACATGCACGTATCCAACGATGTCAATCCAGTTGGTTGTATGGAGCGCACACGATCGACTCCAAATCAGTGCAGCAACAACCTCTGAATCTCCCCCGCAGCGACCGGGGTGGTTGCTACCATCCAGAAAACGCTGCAGAATCAACCCAGATCGCAAGCACCAATTCCTCCGACTTCACCAGCGTCAGGCTCGGATATACCGAGGAGGAGTATCAGCAAGGGTGTTGCGAAGATCCGGCGAGGGAAGTGTGTGTTTGTGTCCCCGCCGCATCCTCTAGACTATCGGCCACTCACTCACTCACAAGGTCTCTGCAGTTGTGGGATCCGAGCACCACTTCTGCTGCTCCTGCAGGTGCTGCATGTTGCCAAGGATTAGGCGCAGCTTCTTCACAGCTGCTCTGCAAAAAGTAAGAAACTGGGTGTGGGGCCAGATGATTAGGCGCAACTTTGGCGATCCCTCTTTGGCCGAGCGGTTTTACGTCACAGCCTCTTCTCATTATTGAGCCCCGGGAGCCCCTTCCGAGGCCGTCCCTGCAAAGTCCTCCCCTCTCTTTGGAAAGGAAGCTCCCACCCTCGCTTTGCCGCCTTTGGCACATTCGCTGTCTGTTTGTAAAAGGAACTGAGAATATGTATATATGTATGTATGTATACATATATCCACACACGTACATATATATATATATATATATATATATGTGTGTGTATATATATATATACACACACATATTCACACATATATACAAGTTGTAGAGGAGCTGGATTACTTTGTCTCGCATGCCTCCAACCTTGACCCAGGTGAGTGAGGATAGAAACGATAGAATTATTACTAAAAACAACAGTGCAATGTCTTCTTTGCTTGTTGGATTCAAGTTTTCTTTTGGTGGATTGATTGTGAGGTAACATGCGACTGGAGTAGGGATGATGTATTTCGAATAATCAGCATCGAATAATCAGCATCGAATAATCCAACAGGGTGACACAGTGTGTGTTTTGCAGAATGTTTTCTTCTGGATAAGACTTGGACAAATCCTTTCATTTTACTGTCATTCATCAACTTACGATAGATGCTTGGATTGTGTGTTCTTTAGCCTACAGTAAAAGATGAATTCTTAAGATATCGAAAGTTTTTTTTTTTCATGCTTTGCTTTTTACTTGTTGTTTGTTGTATTTGTCCTCTGTTGTAACATATTATGTTTGCTGAAGAGTGTTGTGATAGTGAAGAAATAAAAATTTAAAAAAAGGTAGAAAAAGGAATGAAATTAACACCTAGAATAATCCTTTTTTTTTTTAGAGGGTTTCGGTATTAAATATTGTAAGATTGGATAGCTTATTCTCTTCTCATTTTAGAATGTCCACAATTATTTCATTCACTCATATATAAAAGAAATTATAATTTTTTTCAGGATGATGGCAAAAAGAGTAACAGATCATTAAACCTTCAAAAGAATAGCATATCAACTAAGCGCCTTTAAATAGACATATTTCCTTCATAATTGATTAGAATAGGAACAATAAAGAATATATTTACATATATACAAAGTGTAAACATCCGTAAACGTGTTCACTTTCTACTTAAGTTAAAGGTCAAAGAAAGACATTTAGTATTATGTTTGATGGAATTTTAATATAATATTAATATCTTACAATTTTTGGTTACCTTAGGAAGGAGACCAAAATATAAATCCTTTGGCTGTAAATTGGTTTGTCAAACATAAATCGGTCTTGCAAAACCTTGATGATTCATTAAGTATCTGTCCAATGAATGTCTAGAAATTACTTCGATACTTCAACTGCAACATAAAATATTTTTTGTTGTGACTGTAGAAATTTTTCTTTTTTACTTTGGTCCAAAAAAAATTAAAAATGATTTTATTTTTAAAAAGTTTAAAACCACCTAAAAGTTGGGTTAAATCCTAACCAACATATGCATACTATATATAAGTTGAAATAAAATATTTTGTCTAGTTTTAGATTTGATGTATTGTTTTATATATACATGTCTATAATAGACATTCATCTCATTGAATAATTTGGTCTAATTTAAAATCTTTTAACATGTCCAACGAATTTCATAGTTCCTAGTGTATTTCAAAATGTCAAAGCACCATTACAAGGATAAAAGGAGCATTAAAAAAATAAAAAAATAAAATCTATTGGCACAAAGGCAAGAGAATCTAGATCCAATACCTTTGGCACTGCATATATACCACTTAATACACACTTATAGTCTGCATCTATTGCAAAAAAAAATTAAATGTATATATTTTTATGTTTTACTTTTGCTTTATATGTTAATAATAATAATAATAATAATAATGAAAAAAATTAAAAATCCTATTGTCACCCATATAAATAATCATCCCACATAACAACATTAATCTGCAAAGTGCAAACCAGGGGTTGCATTTGCCAAAGTGGGTGGCAAAGAGGGTTCCAGCAAAACCTACTAGCCTTGCAGTATATGGATGGATGGATGGATGGATGTGTCTTTCCATCCTGCTGCAGACAAACTAATTAATTAATTTAAAAATAAGGATTCCTGTATCAAAGGCAGAGGCATGTATCATGTCCTACCCCTCCTTTGCCAACCCCATCCCCCTCTCCTCACAAGCTTTTGGCATGGCTTTGCAACCCAAGTGACTGTCAACAACCAACCTGAGTGTTGTTGGTTGGTTGGAAGGAAGGAAGGAAAGAAGGAAGGGAATTCCATTTGGTTCCTTTAAGAATCTGGGGGCCTTGAAGCACATTGCAAACTGTGTTGTGTACAAAGCATCTCAGACAACACAAACAAACCCACTTCATGAACGAAACCAGGCTTCTCTGCCACATGGGACTCAGTCAGTGTGGTGGACATTGTGTGAAATGGCTGGGTCTTGTGAGACAGTGTACTTGCCTCCTCCCTTGCATGGAGTTTGACTGTGGAGCATGATGAAGTGGGTTTGTTTCAAGCCAAGTTTTTATAATGTGGGTTTACATTGATTCTTGACAAATGTGTGGGTTTTTACCATGAAAGGGAGGGTAGCTTCATGAGCCCCTTTCCTACCCCACCATAGTTTTGGAAGTTTGTGTTTGCCCAAACTGGCCATGTTAGAATTTGAAGGAATTTGTTGAATTGTTGGTAACTATACAGTTGTTGGAATTTGTCTGACTTCATGTGTGCTTTGCCCATATCAATGAGAAGCTGGCTGGCATAACAACTCACAAATCTTGTTCAAGTGCCATGTGAGGGAGAGACTGTGGCAGTGACATCATCCAAAAGTCATGAAAATGAACTCTGATTTATAGAGACTTGTACTCATTGATGAATTTATTTTTTTTAACATTTGGAACTCAGTTCCATTTGTTAAGGACTACACCCTTGGAAATGGGTCACATGATTATTCGGGATTCAGGTGATGCCCACATTAGGTGACCACATAGTCAGTTTTGTGCAATAATAATAAGCACAGGGTTCATGTGGGTTATTTGGCTCTGTGCTTTGCCATTCCCATGCAGATCAACCTTTTTTCCATTCTAATGCTTAGTGTCTCAAGTCATTAGGAACTCATGCACAGAGGGCCTTAAGTTTCAAATTTTATGGCCACCACCATTTTGGAAGAGTAATGCCTAATTCCTCTTTCTTAGTTTTGGTTTATTTTTTACTCTTTTTTTTTTATTTCTTAAAAAGAGAGAAAGAAAAAGAAACACCAATAATGTGTACTACTATGAAAATATCTTTGTAAAGAATACTTTTCATTTTTCATCCAGGATTTTGCCAAGTACAGTAGAAGTGCACTTGACTATAATATCCCAGAAATAAACCAAAAGTATCATCTTGATTGAAGCTTTTAACATGGTTGAGATTTGTTGGGAATTTGCAGTGGGAAGCGAAGTGACTTTGGCAGGGATTTGTTGCACTGTAATTGATCACATAATTGAGTAAACTATAAAATAATTCTCTCTCTCCCTAAATATCTCCCTTTATACATATATATATATATATATATATGTATTGTTAGAAGAAGAAGAAGAAAAAAAAATCATTAAAAATATTCACAACTTTTTAAAACAGACACAAAATGTATAACTTCTCATTTGAGTATCTTTATCTATTCATAACTTATAAATCTTGAGAAAATAACAATTTCAGATGCACAATATAAACTAAAGTTCTACAGATCATCTATCTATTTAACATGTAGTTTTCCCCACGCAGAAGATAATCAGAATCCATGTTCCTCACCAAAATAATAAAATTAAATCCTACAGTATGAAAACCACAGTAATCAAATGAAAACCACAATTATGTTAACGTTTTGAACTATGCATGTGCTCACTACACGTTGCTGGTGCGGAAACAGATGTCTTTTTGAATGCCGAATAAGAACTTAGAAGCTACAGACGAGTAGACTAAAGGAACAAGGAATTCATCCTCTACGTCGCTGTTCGTTATTCGCATCGAAGCATGTCAACGAGTCGCAGTGATGAGAGTGGAGGAAACCGGAATCCTCTAGATGCTAGAATTTTTGTTTGTGCCGGTTCCTTCAGTTGAATTGCGGTTACCGATCACGGTTGCCGTAGTTGCTGCAATGATCGAGGTACGTGTCACTGTCTTAGCTGCACAGTGTGATGCGTCGGAGACAGGAAAGGTATCTGCGAAATTCCTTTTCTCGTCCATATGCTAGCCGCTATTGGAGTCTTGTTTAGACGCGACCAGGCATGCAACTGTAACCTGTCGCCATTCGCACTGGTAGAAGGCGAGGGCGAGAAAAGCATCTTGATGAAACCATCGCTAATACTGTCACAGGTAGCACAGATCTTGCAAACCCTAACTCGATGGACAAGTTAACAGCAATTCAACAATTGCAATCATGCAAGTGCGAGGGTTTCCTCACGCGGGTGTCGTTACGGCACTTTAGAACTCAATCACAAGAATAGGCTGGCTACGTGTGACGCAAGCATGAGAGGAACAAAGTTGGATCAATGTGTGGTGAGCAGTGCTCCCCACGTCCATGACGCAGCCACCGGCAAAAAAATATTTACCACAGTTTCCATTAC